AAGGTCAGCTGTGTTTCAGAGCCATGTGTTTTACCGAGGTAGTCGTCGAAGGAGAACTTGTCATTGTCCCAGACCTGGATGGTCAGTCTGGGGGCCAGTTTAGTCTCAGCTTTGTCCATACTCCAGAAGTGTTCCTGGAGACACACAGAGGGCAATAGAATAGAGACTGTTTTAACAGCAAGTTCTGTCGTTCTGTGATCTTCATTCACTCAAAATGTGCTTCTGATGCCTCATGTACGCATATATTTAAGGCAACTTTTGCACTTGTTGTTCACAACACACTGTTCTGTCAGGAGATGACTTTAAATACTGCGGATTAGGTGCTCTAACAGGGCAGAATGAGGATATGTGTATTCATGGATGCATACACACTCGACCAGTTCATTTTCTTTGTGGACTGACCGACAGAGCTAGAAATTGAGCTGCTGGTTGCAGCTAAACAATGATTCCCCACCTTGAAACGATTATGGAGACACAACAAGGAACAATCATTTGTCTTAGAAGCAGTGATGTGGTAAACAAACATGTGACAAAACCAACCCTGTTTTTATAATTACGTTGTGGTGGTAATATAATACCTGCCAGGATTATGTTCAGAGACAACACTACATTTATGTAACGCAGGGTTTACATTGAGACCTTAACTGTTAAGAATGTGATTTAGGTTGAATGTTCCTAAAAAATCTTATGTCTCAAGTCACTGCTGACTTTTGAATAATCTTGTAGTCACTGCATTATTTGTTTGTGACTTGTGAGGTACGTTATTTAACATTTCCTTATGATGTGAATAGAAAATGTAATTTGCTTTGCATTATGTTTCATTCTAAGGGTATTTGCTGTTAGCAAATTAGTTTATAAACGTAATTTCTAGGAGACGGGCTGTGATAAGTTATGGTTAATTCAAGAGGTATTGTCATTTTATATATATAAAGTCAATTTTACTTATTGAGCAAAATCAATCACTGCCTTTATAATCTGTACATACAACACCCTGTGTCCTTAGACCCTCATTGTAGCTTAACTCTTTCCAATTAAACCTTGACCAAAGTTTAAACCCTCATCCTCAACAAAGTGTGTTAGAGTAAATAAAGATTTAACAAAAAAATCATATATTTCAGAAAAAAATATGATGTAACACTACCTAAAATGTGAGATCATGTTTAGCAGCAGTGTCCTAGAAGAATGTTGAATCACCCTACACTTGCAAAAACCTCAAACCTTTATCAAACGTCATTCAGACAAAAAACAGTTTCTAAAACCTCTTCTGAAACCATCGGCTCATCTCTTCGTCTCTATTCTTTCTCTGCACTTCTCGACGAGACGGAAGCGATGCTCTGGGAAACACGTTGGGAGGCTCCTTTCAGTTTGGAGCGGCACTCCATCGACACATCTCTCACTACATCACCACTTCCACACAAGAGCTGTATGTGTGTGCGCCCGTACGCGCTTTCTTTCTGAGCACACACATCTTTACAGGTGCAACCGTGTGTGTGTGTGTGTATTAGACCTATTATCGCCTCTGGTAAACTCACACTAAACTGCCAGACAGTATCTGATCCTGTCTCACCTTTGTGCTAATGGGCTTCACTCTGCAGCTGCTGCTCTCTGACTCTCCTCTCTTCCTCTTTCCATTCCCTCAGTTGTCCTTTTTTTAATCTGTGTGCGAGACTCTCTCTGGCTGTTGGTTTGTTGATAAAAAAAAAAGGCTTTTCACACCTGAAATAAAATAGGTCCCCTGTGATCCGCAGCAAATGTCAATACGTCACTGTAACCTTCCTAAAAAATAGGAGATTTTTCCACAAAGTAAAGGGCTGCCCTTGCCAATTTCACACATCCAGAGCCCAAATTTTCAGAATTTTATGGACTTTGCTAATAATCAGGACAGGTGGTGATCGATTTATAGTAAAGTGAGGAGAGAGAGGCTTCTGGAAAAACTTTAAAAAGTGATTTTTTTCTCTCTTTACACAGCCTCTTCTGTCTCTGTTTAAGAAACGATTTTTCATTTCGATTAATGAATTTTAACTCGCTGAGTCCATTGGGGGAATCCATAGTGTCTCAATTAGCAGGAATGAGAATTATTTGATTGATTTACACTCACAAGATGAATCTTTCCATCCATTTCCCGACACCAGTGTTGGCCAATCTACACTGTAATGCGATAAGTTATTTTAAAAGGACTACATCGAAAATTTTACGTAACACAAACTTGGTTTTTTAAGTTAAAAAGAATTGAATTTTCTGGTAATTGTTTAAAAGTTTGGCAGAAAAAAGTTTGCCACAAGGAAACGCTCCCTCTTTGAAGCACAATTCAAGTGTTTCATAATCATCAAGCAAAAAGAAATCTTCCTACATGGAGGACATTTTACTAAAAAGTACATCCCCTATGTCCGCATAGACAGGACAGAATATCTGTAGGAAACTGAGTGTAAGAGATGCAGAAATTCAACACCTATCACCTTTCCAGCAACCTTACCAATGTAGTTCAGGCGGTATTAATCCCTTATGTTTACCGTACCAAGCAATCACAGAAAAAGGCAGAACAGATTCAATAAAATACTTTTCCTGTCCACCAAAACGTTTAACTTCCTAAGGAAGTATAAACTTTGCTGGTGCACCGGCTGTTTAGCCCGACGTGCCTGATCGGCCCTAACTGTCACATTGATATTTAAAATCACAACTCTGAGGCCACAGTTTAGGCTGTATGTGCTTCCTCCTGGCTCTTCAGGTGAGAAATTAAGTGTCACAGAAAACTCTTGAGCAGGACAGGACTATTCATGGGGTGCTGGAAGTAAGGGTGCTGTGGGGGCTGCAACATCCCCAAAATCTGGCAAAATGAAAAAAATAATTTAAATTTATAATGACTTTCTCCTTTTTTATTGGGATTTACACGTACACACTGATATTTATGGCCGGAAAGTTGTTTTACCTTGTTTTTTTATCCCTTTTAGCCGCCAAAAAGTTATACAATTTGTTTAGAATAACTGTTAAATAGGCTATAAATTACCCTGGCCTTAAATTAATGCAAAAACCCCATGGATTTAATGCATTTAGCATTTAGTTTGATGCCATTATATAGACTGACTTCTTCCCAACACCCCCGACTTAGACTTCCAGCGTCCCTTGAACTTTTATGTGCTTCATATGGCGTGTTGTTGCGATTTTAACCTCACAATTCGGACTTTTTTGCTTAACAATACATCCGATTCTTGCTCTGTGCGTCTGTATGTTTAAATGACAAATGGACTCCTCTCTGCTGCGTGTGTTATGACTTCACACCGACTCTCTAAATCAGAGTCTAAATCCACATCATGCTCTCACACTTCATAACGACACACGCAAACACTGAGCGTAAACACACTACACCCTGTGTGTGTGTCTGTGTGTGTGTGCCGGCTAAAGCATGTACGCATGTCAGTGTCAGTGTGTGTGCGTGTCTCACTTTATCCACAAACTTGGTCCAAGCACATTAAGCTATCACTCCACAGCTGTCACAAGCAGGGGTGGGACGCTGTACTCCAGTATGTGTGTGTGTGTGTTTGTGTGTGTGTGTGTGTGTGTGTGTGTGTAACTGCTCTCTGCAATATCTAACAACATCAATCAACTTCCTTTTTGTTGCCAGATTGCTAAGTACAGAGTCTTGTTCAGTCTTCTCCCTCATTTCCTCCATCCATCTGTCTCCATCTCGCTTTTTCCCCCTCAAATCAAAAAGAGCTCTAAATGTTATAAATTATTGCCAAAATTTAAATTACATATTGATGAATCCAATGAACATGGGCGTTCTAATAAGAAACAACTAATAAGTGGGAAACAATTATCTTGGGCTTAGAGGCATATTAGCTTTCTCACGCTCGCCTCTTTTTTTCTAAAAAATTTTTATGGTGTTGTTTGACGGTTGTGTAATAAAGTATCTTAATAAAGAGTGTGGGACACCCGGGATAAATCCTAGCAGCTACAATACATAGTTTAAACATATTAAATGCCATAAAAAGATAAGAAATGGGCATGTTTTTATTTTTAAATCAGTTTAAAAATGTGAGAATGTTTTCTGAAAATATTTGCAGACTGAAATTGAGTCTAGTCCAAGGTTCATCTTTTTATTGATGATGTACCTGTTTGTTTAGTGATACAAGGCCTTGTTTACATTTTCTCTTTGGATAAATAAAGCTTGGTCCAGTTTATTGGGCTTTAAAGCTGATCAAATCTGACAAATGTTACATTAACAATAGATCAAATGAGTATGCAGTGTCAAAACAGTTGCTCACAGTGACGAACACAGATAATTAATACCCAACACAACTACATGGAGCTTTTTCGTACCTTTTAGCTCATTGTTTTCGTTCACTCTCACTCCTCTCGTGGCAGAAGTCAGTTGTTTTTAGTGATAAAGTTAAAATAAATCTGCTCTTAACTACCTGCCCAGCACCAGAGAGACAAACATAGCGACTAGCTGGTGAACACAGAGGACCATTTCTCAGCTGAAGAGGAAGATATTTTACTGAGGAGTTGGAAGAGACCAAAAACTCCATATTGGCAAACAAGATTGCCTTATGACTTATATAGAGTGATAATATTGTGTGTCAGTGTTGCGTTTTCAGCTTACAGTGCTGCCCCCAAGTGGCCAAAAATCTGTTTATGTAACTTTAAACACTCAAACACTTTCCTTTTTTGTTGATTCTGGCGGCCCCTGTGGACAAAAATGGTAGTGTTTCTCCCGCCTCATTTCACTGATTTCAGGAAGAATCTGACTGTATCAGCCTATATTTATAATTTGCACACATTAATAGGTAGTGTGCTGGTATTATGTCCACAATAATGCAGTGGCGGCGCCAGGGAGGAGCTAGGTTGGTGCTTGTAGCTTCCCTATACACCATAGCCACAGCACCCCCAGCACCCCAAGAACATGCTGTGATGTTTTTACTATCTATACCCTATTTTAATGTCATGTCATGAACAGCTCCTGCTTGCATGTCTGTTTCTCTAAAATTGAATTAAATATAACGCTTTAAAAATATCATTTTAGTTGCTAAAACAACATGCCGGCGGCACACATGTGACTCGCTTCTGGCCAATGGGCGCAGCGCCCGGCGTGAACCCCTCTTTACCTTCAACGCACCGGCACGCTTGTTTTGTGATACCGCGAGTTTGGAAACTTTACAAAATACACCCCCAAACACATGGATCGTTTTTTGCCTCCTAACCAACGCTCCAACCTCCTGAGTCACAACTGAAGGGACAACGAGATTCGCTGCACAGTTTCCTAATCGGAAGTGCACTGAATTTCCTCTGCTCGGCTATTACAAATTTAAATTTAACATCTTCGGCTGGGTTCAAAAGCACAACTCTTGGCTCTTCTAGTTCATCCTATGACTTCGCCAACACATAGGAATATCTGCTGCTTCACGTCATTAGACCTACGTGCTTGGCTAACCTGGCTTGTGTTGACTTTCCTGATCTGAGCATTTTGAGGCCACACGGTGCACAGCTGTCTGCTGTGCTTCTCTTGCTGCTGCGTTTGCTGCTCTGTTGTATTCCAGGGGCTCGACTCGTGCAGAATTGGCTGAATATTTACGTTCGTTCAGAAGTTTCCATCAATCGGCCAGGCTTATGTAGGTTTATCTATAGCCTTGTGTTGAAAACTTTTACATTATATGGCTCGCTTTATCACGGAACCACCGCTATTTCAACAGGTGCAAGGCTGTCGCGTGTGTCATACTAGTACATACTAGTACGCCAAGGCGGCTCCGATGCGCATCCTCCACTACACTGGAAACGGCACACACACTTATACACAAAAGCACCTTCCTCTTCAAGTGTCGAGCATCCATCAGGGCCCGACCTGCAACAGAAAATCTCTGAAGCTGCCACTGGTCTAATGTATGAATATGCCTTGAAAAACATGAGTCAACAAAGTCTGAGACTGAAGGTAAAATTTCAATTTAAGGCAAAGCTCAGAGGAAATAATTAGAATTTTGAGAAAAAACACACTTTTCCGAGCTGAGCTAATCGAGCTGACAAAAGACAACAGTTGTGAGCGTTGATAGTGTTGTTGATCGGCCCCTGTGACTCACTCATTATATCACCGACCGCTGAGGTTTCTGGCTTCATAAACTCAGCTTCTGGCTCCAGCTCTGTTTTGGAGTAAAAGCTCTCCACCCAGCAGAGTTTTTATTTAAAACTCCCTCTCGTCTTTTCAGTCGCTCGCTGATTGAGGATGCTGCTATGAGCGAGCGAACGCCGTCATAAAACATGTCACCCGCGGACGGCTAAAGAGGCTCGTTCTCGCGCCAAGAACAGCAAATGGCAGCCGTAGTGTTATTCCAGTTTTCAGGGTGGTGTTATTTTAGCTCTTCACTACATGTTTCTGTTGAGTCTTAGACATTCAGCAACATCTAATTCATACCTCTTTCTTGTAAAAATGCCACTTCATTATTTTTGTTAATTGCAGGCCACTGTAGATTATTCAGGGGGCAGAAAGTCTCTAGACCTTCTGCTTTGATTTATTTACTTTAAATCCAGCATCAATAAACATTGGAAATGACATACATAATAACACTAATTATTTAGCTTAAGTTCTATAAGAAAATGTGTCTTTGCTCTGTTTTACACATTTCAGGTTCATTAAAACTTGATTTCCATTGGACAGTTTGTTAGAAACTTTGGAAACTTGCGATCTTTGAACTTTAATATTTTTTATTTTCTTTACTTTTGTAAACAAATTGAATGATACGAGCAAAACAAACGTGTTTGTGAAGACTTAAATCTTTAATAAAACCCCTCACAAATAAACAAGTTTATCTTTTTAAAGGCTCATTCATTCAGGTTTCAGTTTAATACCGATGCCTTTATATGACCTACATTAACAATATAGCTATTCTTATTGCCTGCCACCAGGTTGGTTTCCCTTGAAATCAATGAAACAAGGTGGTAGAAAGGGGCTGGTAATACTTTTACAGGACTTTTACTTAGTTACTTACTAATATTTGATTTAATTAATTACTCTTTCCTTCCTTCGTTGTTTGATATCTCTGCTACAGAGTGTGCGACAGGGGACAGACAGACAGCTCCTACCTTCCTGTCGACCACACACAGCTGCTCTGCGGGTAAGTAGTGGAAAGGAAACAGGAATCTGTAGTTGAAGTTTCCCTCGCCGCCCAGAGAGCGGTAGTGGACGTCGGTCTTCAGCTTGTTGTGTTCGTGTCCGTCGAGCCAACTGAGAATATATCACAATTTTATTGATCAGCCACATTTATTCTTAAAGTAACCGTATTGATTAACTGCCTCCTCCTACCCTTTGACGTAGATGTCGCTCATTTTCTCCCCGCTGATGCTGACGTCATCCAGTAGGACGTCGCTGGTGTTCCAGATGATGCAACGCAGGAAGAACCTGAACAAGAATCAATAACTGATGTATATACTGGTGTATTGATTGCAGTTACATTCATTACTCCATTATGATGTTACAGATACAATATCGAAGAACTGGCTGATCAATTGATCGAT